CCATCTTATCGCGAGTGCCCTTGAGCATCGACGATCTCTATTGCTATCACCCGAGAAATTGAGACCAGGTGCAATGAAGCCTAATCACCTCAAGGAGTTTTATGAAAAGGGGCACCTCGAAAACTGGTTAGGTATGTAAAGTTTGCTATCAAATCAGGTTCTACCGTTATGCTGACACCTTCATAGCAGGCCAACGCGTCCTCGGGCCTTCGGGTCTGTCTACAAGGCCAACAGAATGGCAGCCTCATTATTCCTCCCCGGCTTCAGAGAAAGTCGCCCACCCTGTCATGGTGCTTGATGGCAAACACTACTTTAGGGGGTCTGAATGTCGTGTGCCCAGTGCGGTAGAAGCGCTCCACCAATCCGCAGCAGCAGCAGGGCCTTCCGTTCACGGCAACAACGATACGACCTCGATCGAACAAAAGCATGCCAATGACACTACCGGTCACGGTGGTCTTCGGGTAAAAACTCAGGCCAGAAGTAAATCCACAGAGCCTTTCCCTTCAGTCCGAACACCATCCCCCAACACCAAGGGTAAGGGAAATGATATGGGGACCGCTTCCTCTTCCAACGGGCACCAGGAACAGGATGAGCAGGAGGACTTTGAGACTCCCACAAGAGCCAAAAGACATGGCCGCAAAAACCCACGGACCACACGAGGAGCTCAAAAATCCACGGTGACAGCATCATTGCCGGGCTCAGCAGTTATGCGAAACTCAAGTCTTGCTAGTCCTACAAAAGGTGTTGCAAATACCAAACAGGGTACAAACCAGAGGCCTCCGACCGATAGCCAGAAGACCAATTAGCAACTAGCCGAGGCTACTTCGAGTCGTTCAAAGGACCATATCACTGGAAACATCATCAGAGATGTAGAGTTGCGGTTGAGCACCAATGACAGACCCAAGAACCAGCGACCAAACCGAGGTTATGATGAGCCAGGGGCCCACGGTCAGAAAGAAATGAAGTATCCTGGGACCATGGGTACATTCAGTCAGATGCAAGAACCTGATGCAGGCTTTCAAAACAGGGCGATGAGTACTGAACCCCCTGAAGATGTGAGACTTTCTGGGCAATTCGCGATGCAGGCTCCTCCCATGGCGACCTTTTACTCAGCAGAAACTTTTAGCCCTGCCACTCAAGGAAACTATTCTTTACCTCCCCAACAGAATTTTCCCACGCAGAATGGATTTGAACATGGATTTCCATCAGTTCAGCAGTCACAGCCACCCCAGAGGGGTTCATTCAATGGTCGTGGTAGAAATACAAGCAACTCTTCTCGAAGCGATCGTTTCGATTCGAATGATGGCCGATGGTCCCACCAAATCCAGGAGAAAAACAACAGTGGGAATGCTGGATTGGGTCGTGGAGGTTTCCATCGCGGAGGTTGTCGCAAAAGCCGCCGCGGTCACAACCAGCGAAACGCAACTGCGCCTGTCGCGCAACCTCATACCGGCCCCGACTTCAACCAGAAGAGGCGCGACGAAGCACCATGGAAAGATCAATGGCGTCGGGATGAAGTTACTTGCCAGAACGTTCAGGATGGTTTGACGATCAAAGATTATGTACCTTGCTCTTGCCCGACCTGCGATTCTCGTGACCGCTCTGTGTACATCATTGTCCAAGGCTATCAAGGAATTACTGGGCCAGACATGCTCGCACGGCTCAAGTTTGGTCTGGCTGAGAGATATGGACATGTGGAAGACGTGTTCCCGATCGCCTCGAAAGAACCGGGACGTTTTATTGCCCGGTAAGTCGTGACTCGCTATGAATTCATGTTGAACCCAATGATCAACTAACAAAAATTAGGTTTGCAAACTCCTCGTCAGTTGGTGAAGCACTGACTATTGGCGGCGGTAACATGCCTGAGCAAGGCATATCTGTCATATTCTCCCCTGCGTTGCGATCAAAATGGACTCTCTTGGAGCAAGCACCAACTCGACCACTCCCAGGTCGAGTTTCTGGTCAGAACTCTACCGCTCCCCCATTCTCTCCTTATCCTTTCGGCCTATCGATGCCAGGCAATACGACGAGTACTGCCGCAGTTCCTCACATGATGCCAGGCGTCATTCATCCGGCTGTAGTCAACCCTGGGCAAGCACATAACAATCATTTCTGGCAACCCAATGGAGGGCAACGCTCTGTGTCTGGGTTTGTACAACCTCCAGCCTGTAGTATCCCATCTACAACTGTGCAGCCCGGACCCGGAATACAGACACTCCTCCCTGGACAACCGACTCTTGATCCAAGGCAAATTGTCCCTCCTTCCGTGCAGAAGGCGCAGGAAAACGCATCCCCTCCTGAGATATTACAGACTAAACCCCCGTCTGAGGAAGCTTTGGATGAAATCCATCATCTTGATCAAGATGATCCGGGTAGTCCGCGAAGTGACATAAGCAAGTACACTGGGATCAAAGCTCGAGTTTCCTTGCCCAGCACTCCTTCAAAGAATTCCCTTTCCTCCCAAGGAACCCCAACAAAGCCAAACGAAACAGCAGAAGGGCTTGCGGGTATCGATGCAGCAGCACAGAACCAGAATGAGATGCCCATTAAGGCGCTTGAAAGCCCGGTAGTAACACAGATGACATCTGGCCATCAAGCCGAACAACTGTCTGAGTCAACTGGTAGCAAGAGCAATCACAGTCGTGCACCAAGCCTCTTTTCTAAGAATGAGATCAAAGAGAGAAAACGAGCATGGGCTAAAATTCCTATGCCTCTGACTCTCCATGGGCCTCGCTCAGTTACTCCAATGAACCCCGTCAGCATTGCCATCGAGTGTGGCAGCAGCTCTGGGGTTGAAAAGAGTGACAATCGCGAACCTAATGCTAAACAGCTGCAGTTGCCTATCTCAGGGCAGAATCCTATCTCTGCTCCAAGCATCAGCGATGTTTACGAGCCATCTATGCTCGAGAACCCCGAATCTAGGTTCTTGTTGCCGCAGGCGCCAAAAAGCTCTTCTGCTGCTCACTCCACCAGGTCACCGAAAGAAGATGCTACAGAACCACAGGGAATCACTCTAGATGAAACAAAGCCATCTGAGATGCCTGCAACCTCTCCCGTGACCGACAATGTCGTATCCAGGGTTGAACAATCAATCGAGCAAGAGCATACTTCAGGCATGCTACCAAGAGGAAAAGGAAAGAATGCGAAGAAGGCTAAGAAAAAGAAAGCGAAGAACACGGCGCCCACGAGCAACGAATCCAGTCACGCTTTTCAACAAAATGAGCCGCCGTCTTCTCCTCGACCCAGCTACATGGTACCTCAGCACATGCATCGTAACAGCGGAGGGCTGGGGTCTAATACACACCACGGAGGCCATATCGGAAGTCAGGAATCGGGTTCATCCTCGCTTATCAAGCGACACCACGATGAACCTGAGCAGCCTTCTGTATCTGGATCTGCTAAGCGAAGTAAGAAGCATGGGAATAAGCACGAAATGGCTCAACACCAGCACCAGCCTCAGCCTCAACCTCCATATGACGAATCAGATTCCCCTGATGAGGACGAACGCGGTCGTCGGGGATTCAGAATGGGTAGAGGAGGCTCACTTCGCTTTGGCAAGCAACGTCGACCTCGCCCTATGATTCCTAGCTCAATGCTTGCAGGAGAACAATTCGGTGCTCAAGCGCCACCTCCTTCGACCGATTTTGCTTTCCAATGCCAGAGCCTCCCCGAATCTGAGGACTCGCTGAACTTGCATGATCATGGAAATGGCGCAAGGAGCCGCCTCAATCCGGAGGCCCAAGAGTTTGTATCTCCATCGAGAACAGCGTCTCTCAGTAAAGTACCAGTTGCCAATTGTAGCGGCGGTGAAGTACCAAGCAGTGGCACAGTGAATGAATCAGCAGTCAAGCATGACCAAACAGATGAACTGATCCGGGAGGTTCCCAAGACCGGGCACGATGATGCATGCGAGACATCTCTTCAGGATGAGAAACTCCCATCCGCCGCAACCAGCCAGACCCCCAAACGCCGTCGAGCCATCTCAGAAGCGCTCCAGAAAGGAACTCCCAGAAAGGAAAAAGGGCCTACTCATCAAGGAGAGGGAAAGAAGACTCCGGCAAAAAGCTCGAAACGTGGCAAAGGTAAGGAGAGGGCTGTGACGGTGAGTGCCAAGGCCGACAAGGCCGACAAGGCTGAGGTAAAGGTCGAGAAAGCTCAAGAGATGCCTCAAACCCCGGAGAATCAAGGAGGGAAAGTCAAGAAGCCCGGCCTGATCGACGATGACTGGCCCTCACTTCCAGCCTCTCGGGAGCGGGCACAGTCCAAGCCACAGACACCTTTGATTTGGGGTGGAAAGACAAAATCTACCCAAGATGACGGTGGGCTCGGACAAGGATCTCCTGTCACAAAGAACTAGATTGTGACGTGACTGAGACATAGCAGGAGGAAAAGGGAGGACTGAGCAGACATGAATCGAGAAATGGCTAGTGAATCTATTCCGGTCAGCACCTTTCGCTCTACTTGACATCGAATCAGTAGAAGTGAAATGGAAAAAGGATGAATAAAGGACAGGGTAGTGGATTTCAAGGGCTTGCATTGGGCATGGACAAGTTGGATTGTCCATTGACATAGTTTGCGATATCTGGTCTGTTGTTAAGCAAGTCACGATGGTCTCAGGTCAGGGGATTAAAAAAAAGTGCGATTTATGCCAGGTGTAATATAGTACCGTGAGTACAGAGATGTTTCTCGATAATGGTGAAGTGCTGCTACATTAATATTCCAAGCCCGGAAGCTTATATGTAGCTCGAAGTCTTGACAACTGGAGAACAATATGACCCCGGGAGTGAGGAACGAGGCCGTGAAGCAGCTACAAGGAGGTCGGTAATCAAGATGATGGATGGATGGGTGGATGGGCTTCGTAGTAGTACAATGCTCTCTTGTCGCATGCTGATTTGACCCTTATGTACATTACATTTCATCGTCGTGGTGCCCGAGCTCGAGGTCTCTCCCTATAGCTTCTCTTTGTTTTCGCAAATATTGATCAAGCGATACTCGTGATTCTATTGATCAGCCTTGACCAAGCCAGTGACGGTCTCCTCAATCTCCTTGTCAGAGAGACCCTCGAGGATCTGTGACTTCTCGACACCTCGGTCTGTTTTGAGCATGTCAGTACTGCCGTGGTTTCGATGTTATCGCTCCAGTATTCCCGAGGGCTTCTAGCGATATAGAATACGAACCATATCGGGCAAAGACCTTGGGTTGGGTGCCAGCGGCCTCTCGGATCAGGATGGGAGTGTTGGGGTTGTTGCGCTTCATGGTAGGGTACGATCGGGTAATGAATGATCTATATCGACGCAAGAAACAATCAGTTCAATGACTCCTCAAGCTCTACCGTCCATGTGCAATGTCGTTCGATCACTCGTGTCCTCCAGTGCGCCCAATTGGGTCAGTATCATGCCGATTGTTGTTGTCGTTGTCGTTGTCGTTGGGGAGCATAGTATGGTTCTCAGACGTACCGAAGAGCCGCGCTCTGCTCCGAAGTCTGGCAGAAGAGGAATCGCACCTCGCGGAGAGACTTGGTGAAAGCGTACTTTGCCGACATTATGAAGCGAAATGACGTGGTTGAGTCGTTCGTTAGGTAAAGCAAAAGCGATGGAGTCGGGTCGGCCTTGAAGTGCTAAGTAATTGCTAGCTTGTGGTTGGCAAGGGATCCTTTCGTAGGGTAACCAGGTAGGTTCCTCAATGAAGCTCGGGTGGAATAAACTGGAAAGGCGGTACAAAAGTTATGTACGTATAACTTGCATAAAGGAGCCAATTGATGGAGTTTTAGGTTAGTGTGTGTGTGTATAATTCAGTTATGCACAGCCTCCGGTGCCGCTGACAGCTTTCCCCCCAACCCACCCCAAGCAAAGTATTCGTTGTGAGAGTAAACCCCGGACGCACGATAACTCCGGTTTCCGGGCGCCGTGCAGTGATGGATTTAGTGGATGGTGTGCTAAATCCACCGACCGCAGCAGTATCCGTACCTGCTATCTCGGGGCGACAGTGACCGACCACCCTTGCCCCAACGTCTCAAAGCTTCTTTCGCCGACGTTGAACCTCATCTTTTGGACCACAACCTCTCTCTGTTGAACCAATCTCCCCTCCACTAAGAAATCAACGTGTAAGTTGCTGTTGACTGTTTGATTGCGGATTCAATTGTGTCATTTATATTTTTCTATGCGGTCGCAGAATGTCTCGATTTGCGCGCAAACTATATTGATTCCTGATATTGCATGTCATATTTAATATTGATTGATATTAGCACTGACAATCGCATAGCAGTCATGGCCTCCTCCGCGAACACCATCTTCCGCGCCTCGCGCCCCCTCTTCCGTCAGGCTACCCTCGCCGCGCCCGCTCGACAGGCTTTCCGTCAGCAAACATTCCGACAGAACTTCTACCAGGGCAGCGGCCGTCGATGGCAGAGCACCGATGGCGCTCAGCAGCAGCAGCAGAGCTGGTTCAAGCGCATGATGGAGAGCGAGGTCGGCTTCAAGACTGTGCATTTCTGGTGAGGACAAGTCCAGAACAAGTGATTGTGACACAGAATGCTAATATGCGTGGTTGTAGGGCTCCTGTCATGAAGGTTCGTTGACTACCTTGCGGATGCAACTGCGCTCAAACCTCAATTTCATCACGCCAAAAAAAAAAAAGAAACCCGATGTAATCGCAACCGCTGACTTTGTTTGTCATTCACAGTGGGCTCTTGTCCTTGCCGGTATCTCCGACTTCGCTCGTCCCGCCGAGAAGCTCTCCTTCACCCAGAACCTCGCTCTCACCTGCACCGGTATCATCTGGACTCGATGGTGCCTCATCATCAAGCCTAAGAACTACCTGTACGCTTAAGATCCGCTATATAATATAATACACACTCAAGCTAACAGCTCTATCTTAGCCTGGCCGCTGTCAACTTCTTCCTCGGAATGGTCGGACTCGTCCAGATCACCCGAATCCTCAGCTACGAGTCAGCAAAGAAGAAGAGCCTTGAGGGTGTCGTCGAGGACATCAAGGCCGACGCCAAGGAGACCATCCAGGAGGCCAAGCCTTAAATGCAATCAAGCATAGGCAGGTTAGACAATTGTCGAAAGGGGCGGCCTTCACTCCGACATATCTCACGATTTGTAATGCCACAGTCGATTACTCCTTACAGAGGGACTGGTTCCGAACGGCGTGGGTCGCATATGGTCGCATTTATTTATTGCTTTGAAAAGGAGGGTATCGCAAAGCCATTTCAGAGTCAGGGGAGCTCAGGAATAGCTTTTCACTTTTTACATGGTAGATTACCACAACATATAGTCAGCATGTAAAATTGAGCAAGGGTTGGGTTCAACAAACAAGCAAACAGGTACAAGATATGGCCATATCGCAACTTGAGTGAATATCAAACCACACAGTGGCTATCTAGGTAGGTATATCGTACCAGCTATGCAACAGCCAGTAGTGACCTTGATTGTCATTATAATCCAAATCCACTATAGATATCTCTCTAAACTGTTCTTTAGGTATCATTCATGATGGCATTCACAACACCAGCAACTTCTTATACACCACCTATGAACGCCCTGCCACAAATATTTCCCTTGGCCATAGATAGCCCCAGCCATCCATCCATCCAATCATTAGCTGGCTGCTGGGCCACGGAGCGTCAAGTGAGGAATCAGACCAGTGCCGACATGTACATGTACAGACTCAAAGAAAAGATAAGCCCTCCCCCTCCCTCCCTTTCTTCTAAAACAGCCCGTCAATTTGATTGTTCATCTCATGGTCTCAAGTCATTCATATTTCAAGATCTTGTGCCCACGCCGGGTGGGTACTAAGTCTCCAGAGATGCTCATCATCGTAACCATTATCAATCATTCGCTTCCCCTCATTTCTCCGTGTGTCCGTCGTTCAAAAGCATCTCCAAAACGATCTGTCGACCTGGGAGCTCCGGATGGGCCATGGCAATCTTGACGGTGCCCTTTGACCCTTCGCTACCGGCGCTTGTCGACTGCATATATCCGTTACTGTGTGCCTGCGGATTCAATGTGCTTCGGCCAGTCGGTCCACGGACGCCGAGATCGAGCACGCGCACGTCTCGACCGGCGATGATTTGGCGCAACCGTCCGTTCTCCGCGTTGCGCACCTCAACATAGTCCTCGTTGAAGAGGAGCAGATACTGCCCGTACATGGTTGCACCGCGGGCCTTCTTCTGTTTGCCAGTGTACTCCATGATCAGCGTGCGGCTGACATCACCGTGTTTGTCCACGTATACGGCGCAGTCCTCATATGTCACGATGAATTCGTTCTCGTTCAGCCTGAACATGCCGAGCGGCTTCTGATCTCGGATGCGGCTGGCAATGTTGGCAATTGCAGGCGCCTTAAGGTCGGGAATAGACATAGGCTGCTTCTTATCCAGGGTGAGCATCTCGACTCCCTTCGCCGTCGCAACTGCAATATATGTTTGGAACAGACTGAGGGAATAGCACTCAGTTGGGAAGAAGAATTCGTCAAAGTCGCGGAATGTCTCCGCGCATCCTCCACCACCAGTCTTTCGTCCGCCAAAGAGCCGGGACTTCTTCTCGGTCGATTTCTGGAAGATAGGCTCGAGAACCTTGAATGATGTATGCAGACCTTCTTTTCGCTTGTAGAACAGGAGCATTCTGTCCTTCATCTTAGCTGTGGCAAAGTAGGTGACGTCTTTGGCAAGCCTCTGTGGTGCCCGTCGAGGGTTATCGTTGACAGGGGCTGAGAAGTCAGATACTGGAGCGATCACATCTAGAGGATATGAAATGAGGTTCTTGTCGGCAATGAGCACGCATACAGAAAACTCCTCAAGGACAGCAATTTGAGTGACGCGAGTTGCTTGGACCGTCTGCAGTGAAACTGTTAGCTACATCAGATTGAAGAAAAGGGGACCACATACTCTCTGCCATCCGCGAGGATTTGATGGCTCCGAGATATAAACTCCGTAATCAGTTCCGATCGCGATAACAGACTTGCCAAAAGCAGTGAAGCTGGTAGCGCAGTTGACCTGAGCACGGCATACAGGGGCGACGCCCTGAGCCGGTCCCAGCACGCTCTCCAACTCGTGAATTGCCCGGTCAAGAGGAGTGCCCTTGACTGCAACGCTCGGGAACCTTGCGTACATAGAGGCGGTGTCGTAATGGAAAGCTGCATCCGCGAGAACCCGCAGCCTGAATGGCTCAGCATTTTGAGAGAAGAGTGCCTTGGCGTGCCTTGTCTTGGTTTCGATAATCATGTTGCACCAGTCGGCACGATCCTTGGCTGACGATGCATACAGAGTATAAACCTCGTGACCAAGATGCTTGACCTTGAACGGATACAGTATCTTTCCTTCCGCGTCGTTCGAGCCGGTTGGTGTACCGGAGGCCATAGACGAGTTTGTCGCTGCGTGCTCCAGACCAGGTCTACTAGTGTTGCTACTGACCTTGTTGAGTTGAGTGCTGGAGGCGGCCGCTGCCGTAGTTCTTCCCAATGGAGCAGTGATGCCCTTTTGTTTCTGAACTGGTTCGTCGTTGATGCTCTCAGGAAACAGGAGAGGCATGGGGATGGGCTACGCCTAGTTAGATGCGGTTTCACAAGCTGTGCAGTAAATTTTCACGTACCTCTTTGGAAACATCATACTTCTTGTCCTTGCCCTCCTTGGGAGTCACTGTCTTGGCCAGGATCATGTAGTGATCGAATAGCAAAGCATGTGTGTCGACCCATCTAACTCCCTTTGATCCCATTCTTTGTAGGTCACCTTGGAAGATCAACTCACGGCCAAGATGGTCGAGATTCAAAACAGAATGGAAACCTGGCCGCAGCACAAGCATTCTGTTCAGTTCCATCATTTCTACTCTCTTGTTTTGCTCTTCGACCTTGAGGTCCGACTCGAGAGTGACTTGTCGGATTTCCGCGATGGCCTTGGCCAAGTTCGTCTTTTCCTCGCTGTCTGTTGGCATCTTTTTCTCGACACTGTCGAGTAGAAGGGAGTAACGCTGAAGGCGCTGAATAGGCGCGATCAAGTAATGTGTCCAATCTTGCTTCGAAGACACCTTTTGCTTCTGCATGTCGTCCAAGAATCGCTTGAAGAGAATATTGCGATCGGCCTCTCTTCGAACCTGATAGACCGCGTTGGGGTAAGCCGAAGCATACTCGATGTAGACTGATTTGGCCTTGCGAATCCATTCTCGGAACAGATCGCTGAATCCAATGATCCAAGGACCCTGCTCTTGTTGCCGATACTTGAGCTGCGACAAAAGATGGTCCTTGTTGATTGCCTGGACCAGGTCAAGCTTTCCAAACACTGTATGCAAAAACTTGTCTCGCTTCTCGGGCTTCAGGACAGGGGGTTGCATGGCCCGAAGCTGATCCCTGTAATACCTGCGGAAGATATCTAACTGCTTGATGTAGTTTTCCTCGCCAGTAACAATTTCGTGTAAAATGTTCTGGCGCTCGACCTCCTTCTTGGGCTTTGATTCCCAGTCGGCCTTGGTAAGACCATAAAAGACGTGCCACTCGTCTGCAGGTTGAGAGTCCTGGGCGAGCTCCTCCAAGTCAACCTTCTTGATAGTACGAGTGCAGTGATGAGAGTAGCACCGGCCACCAATCTCCTCGTCGTGGACCTTGGGAGCATAGCATCCAGAACCGGTCAGTTGCCACAAAACTCCAGAGATGCGGCCGTTTCCAAATTTGACCCATTCTTCATCGGGTACAAGCACACCTCGCTCCAGCATCAACGTAACTACATGTGTGCTAAGAACTTCGGCATCTGCCACATTCATCATGGGTATCTTGCCAGTGAAGAGGTTGATCAAAGCCTCCTCGATCGTCTTGGTCCTTAGATCCATCTCACCTTCTCCCATCTCACGAATCCAATTTTCAAGACCGCTGAGCGCCCATGGCTCAGTGCATCTGCGGAAATCAGAGGCATTAAGCTTGGAAGGGATGAACTTCTTCTTTCGGCCGCTTGGTAGTGTGATTCCGTCAAAGGCCGCTATCGAGCCAGCAGGAGTCTCGTATTCCGGGAAAGATTGATTCGATGGCGCTTGCTGATGGCCATGCCTGGCGAGTTTCCTCCTTTCCTCGGCAGCATCAGTCCTGGATCGAGTAGGTGTTTGCACCTGAGGTGTGTGGCTATGCCCAGCCAAAGAGATGGATCGTTCGGGTTGCAGGTTGTAAGCTTGATTGCCCGTATAGTAAGCTTCAGGGTTGTCCGGCGCACCAAATCGCGAATCGGTACTACGCGAGTATGCGTGTTGGTATTGCTGTCGGTTGTTGGTCTGAACCGAGAGCATCGAGCTGCTATCGGATCCTGGCCCTGGGATAGCTGGGAGGGGTCGGTTTGATAGCCCCGGATGGTAGAACAGATCTTGCAGTTCGTCCTTACTAGGGGACTCCGTTCCGCTCTGTCGAGACCGCAGTGATACTCGTTCATCCTCCTCGTCAAAGCTCAGCCGATGTTGTGTTGGTGGCTGCAAGCCTCCTGTACCGCCGTAGTCTATTTCTGCCGTCTTGAACGCAGGCACACTTTCCCCTTGATCATATGCACGGTTGAAATAGCCTGGCGTGGGCAGGGGTCGACCAGTATCTTGGCCGGATGAGGCGGGTGGAGATCCAACATCCCCGCCGTATGTCAAATTACCACCAAATCCACCTCCTAGCATTCCCAAGTCTACACCAGCAAAATCACTGTCGCTGCTGTGGCCTTGCTCTTCAGGGTGAGTATGCAACGCCTTCGTTGGCAACGAGTTCATAGGAGCGGGCTCGGGAGAGGGTTCTGGCATAGCAGGCATGTCCGTATATCCGAAGCCGGTACTGAAGCGTTGTTCGTCAAGCTCAGCTTGCCGCATAGCCATCAGACCAGCCTCTCCATATGCGTCATCATCTTCTTCAGGCTCATAAGCTGTCTGACCAGTTCGCGTGGATGTCGTTCGGCTAGCATTGTTAGGAATCGTAGTGGCACCTGAGTCAAAACGTTGCAATCGCTGGCCACGAATATCGTCATCATAATGGCCATTCTCAGGCTCAGGAAGCGGACGGTAGCCTTGTCCAGAACCGCCCAATTCTAGCTCCAACTCTTGCATAAGGTTGTCACTCGTAATGCGTTCATGTCCGGCACTCCAGGAGAGCTCATCGTCGACAGGACGACTTGGCAAGGGTGCATTCGTTGGGTGCCGTTGCAGTCCGGGTGATGTTGATCCAGGGTTCGCGGGTGATCCCATAGGCGAGGCTTGTGAATTTGAATGGGACCCTCTATTATATAGTGAATTATGCTCATTCGGTGAGTAATACGGCCCGACTGGCATTTGCGTCGCCGTAGGATATGGAGGCTGTGAAGCGCTTGAGAAAGATCCTCCCCCATTAGACAATTGGCCTGGGTATTGGCTATAAGACTGGTCATATGCCGAGGTCTGTGCTGCGCCAGGCGAGGCATTGAGTGAGGGGCTCCGCAACGGCTGCTCAAACCCAGACGATAAAGCAGGAGAAGCCAGCGATTGGGGATAACTTCCTGTGGATTGATTGAAGCCAGGGGATGTTTGCGACCCATATGACTGGCCATACGTATTGTATCCTTGGTAGGAAGCTTGTCGTTGTGGGACGTTGGCGCTTGCATAAGCAGAAGGGTCGTAAGCCTGCGGTGTGTAGGAGCTGGCATTCGAGGCGTAGCGCGAGGGGGGCTGAGACTGGGGCTGGTTGCGGTATGGTAGAGCATTGGTGGACGTCGACCGCGAGAAGCCTGAAGTTTGCGCAAAGCTTTGAGGATTGTATGAGTATGTCGGCGTGGGGGGTACATCTTGGTACTGGTGCTGGTAGCCCGACAGCGCGTTGTTCGTGGAACCGTAGCCAGGCCGGGCCGCCGCATTGTTGCTCATGAAGAGCTCATCCTCTCCAGAGCCACCAAAGGCAGGAGATCGGTTGGTGGGTGGTTGAATATAAGCAGCGTCGTCCCCACCGTTGAAGCTAGCTCGGCGTCCAATATCGTCGTAAGATGAGTGCGGCTGTTGCTGCGGCTGCTGCTGCTGGTACTCTTGGCCACGGCCGGCGACCGGATACTGCACGGGTGGCACATGGCCATATCTCCGCTGGTCGTCGCCGCGAAAAGACATGGCGGCAGGTGACTGTAGTTGGGAGTAGTTGTGACGAGGAAATCGGGAATGGTCGTGAGAATAAATGTGAGTGCCACTTGGGCTTGGCGGTTCGTGCGTCTACCTCGTATAGGACGGCGAGGGTTGATGGGCGTGGGCGGGTCGCATTGAGGGGTCGAGGACGTCGACGGATATAATAATGAATTGCGGGTGTTGAAGATGACGCTGTCGCCGACAGAGTAAGACGCAAGGAAAAGAGCGACGGATTTGTTGTGCGCAAAAGTAAATGGAGGCGGTCGGGTCGGGTCCAGGTCTCGAGTCGAATGAGCTCAGCGGAGAAAACGGATCTTGGGTCGGAGATGGATGTGGATGGACTGGACTGGACTGGATATGTGTGATGGGCGGACTCGAGAGCGGCGGGCGCGGAATTGGGATTGGATTGTCTGAGCGAGATAGAGAGAGGGAGAAGCGAAACTAACTAGAGCGAAAGCCCCTCTTACTCAGACAGTGACAGGACAGGACAGGACAGGACAGGACAGGACAGGACAGGACAGAACAGGACTGAACTGAACTGACAGCGTAGTCTGGTCTACCTAGGCAAGGAGGGTCCTGAGTCCTCCTCCACTTGAAGTATCTGTCTGTCTGTTTGTCGGGTCCTAAATTTGGGCCTGGACTACACAGTAGCTAAGAAGGTAGAGAACAGAACAATATGTAAAGCCTTGTGTCCTGCGGTGTGAGACTGGAGACTGGAGACCGTAGTCTAGAGATGACGAGAAGAACGATAATAAAACAGTCTCGCCCTCAGCTGTCAAAATTTGGTTGGTGCAAAGGCAGGGTTTAGCGAGTGACAAGGGAAAGAATAAGACAAGGTGATTAAACCCAAGAGAAGGGGACTGTATCCGACGGAGGAGAGCAGAGACGGAGTATGCATAGGTAAGTACTAGGTAGGTAGGCTTGAGGTGAGATTGGAATAACCCAAACTAAGGTAAACTAATGAGACGTCACTGAAGATCAATCAGGCTCCGAAGCTTCCCCATGTCATTGCTACCTACCTATCCGTAGGTACCTATCCAACCTTCCAACACATCCCAACCATTCATGGACTACCTATCCTCGGAAACGCCTTGAGATGATGTTACAGTCAGTATAAGCCACAATCAATGATACAAAAGTTAATCTACGTCTACCTATAGCCCCAGCGGCCAAGAAGCTGCTTACCTTGCCTATTGTGATACTGAAGCAAGCATTCAGTGCCCGGGTACAGACAAACACACTCCACAGTGTTTAATTATCGCCTGGGGAACCCTGGAGATCTTTTGAACTCGGTTTTTGGCCATTAAAAGTACTACGCAGTAACCTTGTTGTTCGAATTTACCCATGAGACTTGATGGTGCGACCACATCATAGATGGCCTGGGTCACAGGCTCCTGCTCTGGGCCATGACCTAGTGTTTCGGGCGTCAGTGGCCAATGATGTTTTACATCCTTGATTAGTAGCTAATGAGTACGGATCAAAAGTTACAAACGATCATTGTGTTTGATCGCGGCGGTGCAAAACACAGCATTTCAAGAGCCATGATTGGATCGCAAGTTTAATGTGGGGGGTTCCATTTAGTATTGGTAAAGTTACTGGGCGGCCTCGCTGTCAGATTAGCGGGAGCTACCTTACTTCCACCGTACGTCACGGATGGCGCAATAATAAGGATATTGTCTCCCGGCTCTTCGTATTTTGTTTGACAAGTACTAAGTTAGGAACTCTCACCTCGGTACGGGAATACCATTCATTGGCCAAGGAATGCGTATCTCAATTTGAGTCTGATATCCGACATTCAATACGTTCAGTTGTGAAGCAGCCTAGTACTACTTTGTTTGTACTCACTCGCTCAAGGCCGTTTGAACTGAATCTTTTGTATCAATTATGCTTTGTCTACTCTGTATTGTTAAGTCTGATCTACCCGGGAGTCTGTAATAAAAACAGGAGCGGCTGGTGAACCCTGATTCAATCTGGTAAACAAATACATGTGAATGACTCTACCCCGTGGTCAAGGATCCCCCCACCAATCGCAATAACCCAAGACATTGCTCCCATTGACAAAACGATAGGGCTGATCCATGGTGACATTCCTATGATGAATGTCCTACTCATCTGACTGCATGTGCTGGGTTTCGGCATGTCATCTCGACGTGTTACGACCAGGCCGAACGAAGCATGTCAGCCGCTCAAAGCCACAGCCCTACAAGACAGCTCATCCAATATCGCATTTTGTGTATTTTACCATCTGTAAGGACCCTGAAAATTGGGTTGCTAACTAGGTACCTAACTACCTCGGAAATGCAGATAATTACCCCCTACCAAGCCAACTTCATCTCGCTCAATCCACAGCACCCATGCTGTCTTCTCCCCACTTATAGACAGCGTTTTTTTGTTCAAGAAAACAGTCATGGCCAACAGTAATTGGGCACACCGTAAGGCCCGTTAGAATCACCAAATCTGACGTATCGTATGCCTATGAGCAAGCCAAGCCAAGCCGTGAACGTGAACGTAGGAACACAACTGACTGTCGGGTCATGAGAGTTTGAAGTTGCTAGGCTGACTTCATCTCAATGGTAATATATGTTGTTGTTAAGCCTGAAAGGACCGATAAAAAGATACTACTGTGGTATTTTACGCAGGAAACTAGGTAGTTCGTCCTTTTATCATGCCCATTGCTTAGGTAGTTATTTAACTTCAGCTCCGAAGTCGAATCACGGCGATGGGCTTCGGCATCTGCCCCACTATTTACGGCACCGTTCGGGCATTCAGTCCGGATCTGTTTTGGTACAATGAGGCTGTTGAATCGATGTTCAAGATATCTTTAAATTTTAAACATGAGACAGCGCTTTGTACACACGTAATGATACTCTCTGACTCCAAAACTAACACAAAGTGTTTCGAAATGTAAGCTTAAGTCTCAGCATGCGGGTCTGGCCTCCAGTTAAATAGGTAGTGGGGGTTAGAGGAAGCGTGGGGTTTCACCTCTGACCTCTCGCCTCTGAATCAAACCAACTGAATCAACCTCACAATCTGATTCATTACAACTCTTCGAAACCTACTCCAAACCCATGAATCGTTACAATGACAGGTGACACACACCGCAAGATCTGTCAGCCCCTCCACCCCGCCATTCGTGACAGTCTAGATCCCCAATATGTCGCCTATCATGAGGCGCATCTGCAGTATATCGAAAGAGATGAGATCAATAGCTGGGACGGCTCAATACGTACCAAGAAACATTCTCTCCCTCCTGGAGGAACAAAACCTATTCCCGTAGGGAGCACCAGTGACCATGACGTTGCTAGATTCCGAGTGAGAGTTTACACACCAACAGGCCAATGTGATGACCGAGGCTGGCCTGTCCTCGTCTGGTTTCACGGTGGTGGCTGGGCCGTTGGAGGACTCAACAATGGCACCGATCTTTGCTGCTGGGCTTGTGAGAGTATGTGCTTGCTTCTCTGATTGTGTCTGGTCGTACGATGCTTACACAAGAACCAGGAGCGCGGTGTATAGTCGTCAGCGTAGACTATGGACTGGCCCCCGAATGCCCATTCCCTGCTGCAGTCGAGGATGCAATTGACGCCGTGAGATGGGTGGCATCTCGTCCAATTGAACTACAAAAGATAGACACTTCCCGTATTTCCATCAGCGGAACATCATCTGGTGCTAATCTGGCGATTGTCGCTGCATTATCTGCATCGAACCCAGAAGTCCCTTTACCGACAGCTCAGCCTTCATTCCCAAACACTATTACACATCCTCCTATATCATTGATCCTATTCATACCAGTTGTCGACAATACTGCCACAGCTGAAGGGGTATGGAGGCCCAATGCCGAAACTGCACCTTGGCTTACACCTGCACGAATGGAGTATTATCGTAAGCTTTACTTTACTCATGATCATCACCGCTCTCAATGGGACGCGAGCCCTAACCTCGCCCCCGAATCTCTCTTGAGAAGGCTTCCAAAGACGTGGATAGCTGTTGCAGAGATGGATATTCTCGCACCAGAGGCACTGGCTTTTGGAGAGCAGTTGAGAGGGTTGGGAGTTGACGTGGAAACCTTGCTGGTGAAAGGCGGGACACATTCTATTCTTTCGCTTCATGGTGTGATTGATAAGGGCTATAAGATGATAGAAGATGCTGTCAGACACCTACAAGTGACTTTTGGGACGGGCTAACATCCGAATGCTGCTGGAAAATACTTCTTAAACTGCTCGGAGACACATAGTAGTCCCATAGGATCCATATAATTCACTACCTACAGTCCGTCCATTCAACGTTTAATGCCACCCTCTCAATGTCTCCAGGCTTCCCTGCCTATATATGAATTGGTGATTCTTTCCAGTGCTTGTTCTGATACACCAGCGTACACACCCCGGACCAAGCCTAGACTGCAACAGCCTCGCTTGTGGGTGTCTTTCGGTCTGAATCCTCCACAGACTCTTCACTAGTCATGGAATTGTTTTTGCGGTTTCGAAAGCCCCAAATACCCTTAAAACCACCATCATCCATCCCCAAGAGCTCCTTCATACACAAGGCGGGATGAAAGATGTTGAGAATGGTCACAGCAACAACAATCAAGATTCCCTCAAACCCAACAAACATATACTGGTGACCCATGAGGGGTCCTTTCCAGCCTTCAGACAATTCTGCAACTCGAAACGCACTTCTCCAAAGAATGCAAAGTGCAGAGAGTGATAGAGCGCAGAGAAAAGCTTTGAACCGCCGGGCGTTGCGGACTTTGACAATTTCTGGGCGCTGATCGAAGGCTGCTTCACCGAGACGACGTTGACGATAAATAGTCCGAATAGCAAAGTCGACTGAACAAGCAATAAAGGCGAGAATCGTGGCAACTTGAAAGGCGAGCCCTGCTATCATGATATTTGTGCCCAAGTCTGCGCTTTTGTACTGTTGAGAAGCAACGGAGGCCATGCCGCCCCCAAGGGCTTGAAGGACCAGAGAGACGACATCGCAAGGGATGAACTAAAGAGTCGGTGTATTAGAATATAAATTCGAGTCATATCCACAAGGCAGTGACTTGCAAATCTGGTATAGTATTCGGGAGGTAACCGTGAGTTCTCTGGTCCAAAAGCTGATACGATCCTGCGTAGGCAAAGATAGATACTTGCAGCCATAAAGGCTGGACCCATGGTCAAGCAACAAATCTGGGTAAGAAAGGCATTCATATCGAAGCGATTGTACCAACTCGCGATGCGTCCACTGTATCCAATGATCTCGCACAGAAGACCCAGGATCATGGCGACATTGAAAGCTGTACCCCTGCGAGTGAAAACCCAAGTGACGATGAAGCCGAGCAATGAAGCGATGAATATCGCAAGAAATGCAGCATTTGGTGCAAGATCAATGCGATAGAGGTAGTAACCCGTATCATCAACACACGCTCCAGCTTCGGGATTCTGAAGACAAAAGAAGGGCCCTTCAGGAGCTTGTGTCCCGTTAAGGGGAACAGGCGAGGTTGGCTGCATAATGAGGAAGTGGGAGTGGCTTAAATATGAGCAAGTGTGCCCAGTGCTCAAAGGACAAGAATGAAAAGATGAGGAGCCCGATATATATATATATATACCTATGTATAACTGTTCATCATGCAACCCCCTCCCGCACTTCAGCTTAAATGCGAGTGGCTCTTTACTCTGCCCATGCTCAAACAGCCATCAAATATTCATAGTCTATAAGAAAGGGATCCGGGTAAAACCTAGAGAGGTGGGTGCAGGATCCAAGTACGATGTCGGAGTTCATCTCCGTCGTATTTCGTGTTTCGCGAAATTTGCGGTTAGTCTGTGACATATTCTATCATCCCGTCGGCCCTTGGTGGCCGAAAAACAACATGCATTGCTGTTTTGGTTGTGGATATTTGAAAGGGAGCTCTATCAAGAGATAGTATCGAATGCCCCAGTTCAGCCTCAATAATACAGTTGAAGGATCAAAGGAGCCTTGCATATGGCCCACTCACACTTCCTCGCACCATCATCCTATTTTGGCTATCTATCAAATGAGAGTCCAACTCTCGTTGCTGTGCCTCTTTAGGGCGAAAACGAATCAGTGTAGCACAGAAAAGGGCCTCTAGCATGTCTTATGTTGCATCCTATCGTGGTTCTCGGCAACTTGATATTTGCAAGTCTGCACTAAACATATAGCGAAAAACTGGGTTCTCTCAGACCCAATATATTGTAACGTGCGTGTACTGCTCGAGATGTATCGCTGTCCCTCCTGTAACAAATAAAAAGAATAAGCATTATTTCTCAATCGTCGATCGAGGACATGACCGAGTCCAACTCTTTCTTCATTGCGCTTCCACTCAGCCACCTACTTCTTTTTCTTTTCTGCAGAGCTGTCCCTTCTAGGGCTCTCCTCCACGTTGGTTCCGCTGGCGCCGCTCTTCGTCACAATGCCACCAGCAGCCTTACTCGCACCGACACTGATACCACGACCCTCTCGCATATCCAGGCTGATATTGCTCCCGACACTCCCGCTGCGCTTGACACCAGCTTTTACCCTGGCCGCTACAGGGGAATCTAATCCACTTTCAGGCGAGTCTCTTCCCGCAGCACTCTTAAAAAGCTCAGGGGTGGCTGGCCGGTCGCCTGCAGGTATTTCACCCGAGTATTTCACTCTGTGTCTTGTCGTGTTCTTAGGAGAAGGAATTCCAGACGCATGCTCTCGTGCTCGGTGTGGCTGAGGTTGGGGTGTAAGCTGGACGCCATTGGCTCCCTCAAGACTTGGTGTAAGTGTGGAAGACTCGCTCTCGCTGCCATGGTGAGCATGCCCAAACGCATATCCTGAACCCAGAAGGCTCTCCTGCCGACTGACATAGTAACGATCATATTCCTCCTTTGTATGCTCGGCATCGGTGAAGCTGTCGAGCGCATCAAACACGTGCTGGAAAACCTGTGTATCGACATCCCGAGCCCAGAGAAAGTCAAGATGTTCATAGTGAGGAATCTCAGTTGCCACAGTTTGAGGGGGTAGTTCCTTGAGCATAACATTGATATCTACCAGGGAATCGCTGCCACCGTAAACCAGAACGATTGGTGTTTTGATGTTTCGAGTCGGGTACTTGGCAACCTTGGAGTATTTGCTACTTGAAGTGACACTGATTGGCTGATGAACGTCATCGTCATACATCTGGAAGGACTTGTTTCGAATGATTTGGAACCAGTGAACCACACTCTTGGTGCTCGTAAAAGAGTAAAGATGTGGGTAAGCAGCCAATTTCTGACTCGCGGAGATATTGAGGGTTTGCCAGTTGAACAAGAATGAAAGCCCCATGTCGATGAGTTTGCTGAAGATGGGTGGGTACAATATGGTCTCCCACATAGTGGCGGAACTGAGGATGGAACGACGACCAAACAGAAGGAATAAAACAGAAGGCGATGCCGTCACGAGCGCGTCGACAATTCCACTAGATAAGCCGGCAGGCGCCATAGCAGGCGCGAGAGCGATGAAGACATTGATCTGGTTATTGAGCTTGGGGTGGATGGCCAAACTGGCGAAAGCCTGAGCTGTACCTTGCGAAAAGCCGACGTACGATAGGCTCTCCTGCTGTGTTGTATCAAGAATATAGCTGATGCTATCTGGAATGTCGTGGAAGGCAAATTCGTCGATGGAAAAGTCCCAGAAGGCATTGGAGGTTGGCGACTGATTGATTGACTTTTTGGAGTACTTGTTACCCCGATTATTTCCAAACTGTACAAATGTTAGTCAATGGACGTGGGCTGCGTAATAATGCAAGCAAACTTACCCAGACGTCGTAACCTCTCTCAACCAGCTCGAATGGCAGACATCTCTGCTCATCCGTGAGAGCAACCCAAACCTCTGAATTCATAAGAAGGCCATGGTGCATGTAGATGACCTTCTTTTTCAGACTCGTCGGGCCGTAGTTAACTTTCTGTCCTTCTTCGCCCTTTCGCCACTGCAGACGATGAAGACCTAAAAGATATCCATCCTTGGTCTGAACGATATGTTCCTCTGCTTCGTAGCCCCAAATGCGACACAGCTCAACAAAGTCAGGCGCGTCTCGTACCTTGGTAGATATCGCTATACGATGTTAGTCCGAGTCTAGTAGAAACAGCCAAGAAGCCAACTTTTTCGTTTACTCTCCGCTCGTCGCCTCGCAGGCGCAGAAAACCTATTGAAGAGTCGTCTTGAAGCTCTGTAGAAAAGCGTAACAAGAAATGGGGCTGCGATGTTGTTGTTAGTATGACCCCTACACCGCTCGGAAAGGGTCTGCGACTCACGCAAAGCCAAAGTCAAGACTCGAATGATTGCCTCGAGACCGACGAGAATGAATGATCCCACGAGAGCTAGATACTCGTGCCTATTCGGATTAGAGGTTAGTAAAGTCGGCGCATAGTAGAGATGAGAATGCGGATGAGCGCCACGCAGATCTTCCAGGCCTCTTAAGACAAAAGACGAATAGGGGAGATACTTACGGGCGAAGCCTCCCGATGAAAGGAATAGCCATCGCGACAATCTTTGTCTGGGAATTGTCGCGATACAAGCTTATCCCAGCTTAAGATTTTTGTTGTTGTAGGGACAAGGATCAATGAGCGAAGTAGCTACTAACTTGGCAAAAGAGGTTGATAAGGTAGTAAAATGGAGGTGATGTCAGTCCCTATTCAATGAATCACATGCAATTGGGGACAGCGATAGAGTTAGTGCCTGGTCTACTGAGCTACAGCGAGGTCGCACTAAAGTAGCTAGCGCACCTAACGAATCATGACCTCAGAACTTGAGGTGAGTCTAGAGTAAGTAAGGTAACCTTGAGTTGAAAGAAACTCGGTGAAGAAATGAGAAAATGGAGATTCCATCAGGCCTCAAGATGCTGAAAGAACCTGATGGTCAAAAAACATTCCATATATTTTCCTTCCATGATACCCATATGAAACAGTCATTACCGCAAGCGAGCCACAGAAGACACTGCCACATGGCAGACGCCAATGTCAGGGTCGAATGAGAGGGGATTGGTTCTCTTATAGTGGGCCATCGACACTTGGCTAGGCATAATGATAAGACATACATGAGGTACTCCGTACGGAGGTACAGGTTGAGTGAGAAAGTGAAAAACTAGCATCAGTTAATGAAGGTCGATGAGAATATCTCCGATTACTACAATCGCAATTGTAAACTCAACTACTATAGTACCGTAGAGCCCAGTCCTTCCCTTCCCTTCCCTTTCCTGTCCAGGCCATTATTTCACGACTCTCCCTCGCTCTCAAATCGCTCCGAGCTGCTCCAAAATATTTCATGCCATGCAACGCAACATTATGCCATTGCCACGCCATGCTAAACATCGCTCATCCTTCCAGAGTACAAGCTACGATATATCGTCTTTCTCTTTTCCATCTCGTCATCTTATCTTGTCCCATCCTACATCCTGCTGGTCATGCACCGTCTCCGTATCTACTGCTCCTATATTTCAAACAGCTTAGCGACGCCATTGGAGTGATTTTTTTGCTCTGGTTCAGCTGGCATCAAGGCTCATCATGTGCTGACTTGACGATTTACATAGCCAGGAGCACTACAACCAAATCCAATGAGCGGCTCGAAGTGCGGCCCAAAAGCTTGCGTCTTCCCAAAGAAAGGGGATAACACAAAGAAGCCGAAAATCGTCAATACTCAATTTGCGAGTATCTCGTGCCCAAGGACAGTAGACGTCGTAGTAACCGGGCGCCGCCAAGTAATACAAGAAAAATCTTTCCAGGAAAATGAAACGCTCCCCCAATGCCGGGTCCGTTATTTATTTATTGTTATGAACCGAGCAGCTCTGACTTACGGTTGCTCTTCCAAAAGTCGATTGCCTCAACGACGTCGTCTCCTTTATCGTCCTCGTGTGCAAATAGAATCTGGCATCATGTTAGCATCCTGGAAGAAAGAGTTTCTCGTGTGATCAAACTTACCTCATGTGTGCTACTATGAAGCATGCGAATGTTCTTACGAGGGACAATGTGCACAGCACCATTCTCCATGTTCCGGAGCTCAATAAAGTTTGGCTCGAAAGCAAGGATCCAGGGGTAGCTGAGTGCGAAGCTCTGTGGTGTACCCTCCCAGTCAATTCGCCACTCTGGCCGGGCCCTCCAGCCGTTGCGGTTAACAAAGAAGGAGAATTCCGAATAGTTAAGCAAGAACTCTCCGTTAAGTCGTTCAATGTGGATTGGCCTAACTCCTTCTTTGCGAGCCACAAAGTCAAGTGACGTATCAGCCTGGTCGAGCAATGATTGTGTTTCGAGGGTTTCGAGCGAAACGACCTCGAAGCCTCGAGCGCAGGCAACGCAGAGCTTGGACTTGAGGAAGTGAACGGACGAGGATTCGGTGGGAATGTAGAACTCCTTGAATGGCTTGAGCTCATCATGGCCGCCGCTCATGAATTTACCAATACCCTTCTGCTTCTTGGCCTTGGTCATGGCATCATTAGGCTCAAAGACCTTGATCGTAGTAGATAGGGCGGATGACTTGACGCAGCAGACCAGATGTCTGCCCAAGCAAATGCCCGTCTTGAAGAAACTGCAATGGTTCTGGATCTTTTTAGGCCTTCTAGACAATGCGGGCTCATCAGGGTTGAGGGCAGAAACTGGGTAAGACTGGAGTGTTTTGTTAGACAAGACCAATAGTAATTGGTACTCTTCCAGAATATCAATCTGAGTAACGCTTGCAGTCTCCAATACCCTGCGAGGCACTTGATCCTTCACCTTGCGGTCCGACAGGTAAACACCACTGTCAGTACCGTACAAGAGCTTGCGGCCACCATCTGCCACGGTGTTAGCGATCGAATCGGAAAAAGCAGAAAGGACTTACCAAATGGCGTGACACAGTTAACACGGTTGGTACCAGCAAAGAATTTGCTGGAGATGACCGTTGTGTTGAAGAAGTCGGCACGGGATCGAAGACGTTCCTGGGCAGTATGAATGAACTCAAGCCACTTTTGACGAGCAGCTTGGTTAGACGCATAGAGCGTCAGCTCGTAGCCTGCTTTACCCAGATGGCGGAAGGTGATCGGCCAGCCTTCCTTTCGCGCTGGGTCGTTGGCGTTGTTCCGGATTGAAGGGATCAAGCTCGACGAGGTACGCTTCATGTTGCCATCCTTGGGAATCACCTCGTCCATTTCCCTGATTGCGAGAAGCTCCAGAGGAATGGGTCGTCGGTATGCCTTAATCTCTTCAGTTTTGCCAGTTTGCTTGATGCGAACAAGAAGAACGGCGTGATCAAAGAGGAAGGCCGTAATTTCTGCAGGATCCGTGGGCGACTTCTTGAACTGACATTTGAAGACCATTTCACGTCCCTCCTCTGTGAGTCGAAGGTCGACCCTCTCGTTAGGTCTGAAACGGAGCTGCTCATGAAGCCTCCTGAGGTTGAATCGGTTTTCAGCCTTTCCGGACTCTGCGTTGACTCTGCCAAGAATATCTCGAATCATAACCAGAACCTTAGGAATGTCCTCCTTATCAGGATTGCCATCTTCCGTGTATTTCAAGACGTTTTCCAAAAGTAGGGGGTATCGTGCCAGACGGGTCGTCGGCTTGGTCAAATAACCATTCAACTCCAGTTTTCTCGACTCCTTGCGCCTTTCAATCTCGTCCACAAACTTGCTGAAGTAGGGGTTGACTGATCTCTCGTTCTCGAATTCAAACTTTCCTTCCAACTGCTTCGAACCGTACAGAATGAAGGGCTCGAACTGAGGCACATACTCAAGGAAAATATCACCAATATTATGGACAATAGGTTCCTTTTGTTGTCGAGTCGTGAGTCCAGACGCAAACCGGGAGCTGACGGTATGAATACTGGGGTGGTCGATAATGTTGCTGAAAATGTTCTTGACGACCTTTTCGCGACGCTGAACAGGAACTGGCGAAGCCTTTGATCGTAAAGGCAGAATCCAAAAGTCTCGTAAATATTCCAAATCCTTAACGAAATCTCGCTCGGTATAACAGATCTCTGAAATAACTTCCTGCCTCTTCTTTTCCCGCTCATCGACCTTCTCAGCAACTTCCTTGGGAACGGAGTTGATCCAGAGTTTTTGTTCGTCTGTCTGATCAACTTCGTCATCGACAGCATTGACAGCATCTTCTTTTCTTAATCCGGGGTTGATCTTAAGATTCAGTCTCGAAACTTGCTCCAATCGTCGAGGGCAGGCAATTGAATAACAAAGTTGATCCCTGGTACAGGTTGGAGAATAGCATTCGGAGAGCAGGACAAAGACACCATTAACTGCGGGCTTATCTTCTGGCTCATCCATCAATGTCTCCCTGAACTGGTACATTTCCGATTGGGAGTCTCGCAGACGGTGTTCGTAAGTGACATCGTGGAAAAACTTCTGGGCATCCAGAGCTCGGCCAAGAAGGAGGGCAAGGTTGCGATCAGTAGTCCTAATAATATATGACAAGACATCGACAGCCTCGGAACCGCTGAAAGCATTCTTGTATGTCAGTTCGTTCTTGGTCCTGTCACCTACAATAATCTTGCGACGGAAGCACTCTCCGACTCGAGACAGTAGGGCAGGATATACGAGGGGTGGTCGAATCTTCGTGGCAGTCGGGGGGCGCTCGCTCTCGATCGACTTGCTTCTGGTTGGTCGCTGAACCAAAGTAGAAGCATCAGACTCGGACGGGGTGATGGTCGGTGCCACGGTAGAGGCCATCGACATTGTCCTACTATGATCGCCAGCACCATTGGACGAAACCATGCTAGAGGTTCGGGTCTGTGCTCCTGGAGCGTGAGGCATCGAATTAGGATAACCGTTGGCGGCAGGCTGCTCGGTAGGTGCTCGTCGGTTTGGGATGACTCGACCGCTCATGGTCTGATGGGCGTCCATGCTCTGGGGTTGGTAATTGCCAGTCAGCGACATGGTGCGATCTTCATGACGTTCCGGCACAATTCGCCCTTGAGCGGTCGTCCTCGCCGAGTTCTGCTGCGCATACGGGGCTTGTCGAAGGTGGTTTGCTGGTGCTTGTTGGTAGGCGCTAGGAGGAGGGTGGTACATTGGCTGGCGAGGAGCAGAAGCGAGTGACTGCGAGCGATAAGGGTCATTGTTCATTGCAGGTGCCGGACCACCTTGATAGAATCGCTGGGCGGGAGTCCTTGCACCAGGAGCTTGCGGAGGCGGCGGACCTCTTTGCTCCATCCGAGGAGGTGGAGGTCCTCCAGGGCCAGGATACGGACGTCGTTGTTGATGATGTTGCTGCTGCTGCATATAGTGAGGTGGCATTTGACCACCAGATGCTGAGCGCTGACTTGGATAGTAGCCATTCCCCATCATGCTATTGCTATCCATTGTCCGAGTCCTGCCAGCTGCTGGGTCCCCATAGTGTCCTGGGGGGGCACGAGGCGGTGGCTGCCGTTGCATACCAGAGGACATTGAGGACATAGTCTGAGTGCGACCGGGGTCCATCATGTTTTGAGGCATCGAAGAGGACGAAGTCATTGTTTGGGATCGGCCAGGAGGAGGAGCCGCGCCGAAGATGTTGGAGAATGCAGCATCTCGTTGACCGTAATTGTTGTCGTCGCCGTAGCCCCTCTGCGGCGGCCTTTGAGGAGCTCCTCGAGGATCGTAACCGTAGTTCGACATGATAAGGGAATCTTGATCGAGGGCATGTCAGGAGAGTTTCCCAAGAAAGGGGCGATACCTGGGGATGGGAATTGCATTACCGGTAGGGTTTTGAACGCCAGAGGCTAAAAGCTCGTTATCTGGCGTATCAACAGCCGACTTCGACGGATGCGCCGCCGTCAGTCGACGCCAATACTGTGCGTCCCCTTAAGCTTAATATGAATGTTGCGTGAGCGATAACCGTCCGTTATATACTGGCGCTGCGAATACCCACGCAGGTAGCGCTCGTCGTTACGGTGTGAGAGATGATGAGGGATCGGGGTGTGAATTCTACCCAAGCAATGTGTCGTGTCGGAATTTGCAAGTTTGGGCTCGAGGGGGACCGTCGGACAAGGCGGCCGGTTGAGCAAAATGGCAAACCTCTCGCCTTGGGCCGAAGCTCTTCGACCGATCGAGGATGCGGAGGGACGACGATAGGGAATATGATCACGGGCAATGGGTGGTCGCCGTCTCGAGAGGGTTTTTCTCGGGGGGGTGACCCTCTGGTGATGGACTTTGGAGGGAGTTGCAGTTGCAGGTTCACGATCCAAACCAGGCACCGGACTCGTCGCAGGTAAAGAGGTAAAGGCAATCCAAGCCAATGGAATCCACGTTCGTCCAGGTACTGAATGGAACAGAACACGACAAGGGAGTCAACTGTAGGAGCCAACGACGGACACGCCAGTGCTAGATCCACCACAGAGTCCACCTGTCTGATGGCGGCCTCTGCGCTGTTTGGGGGTCGAGATGAATGTGGTGACGGGGGGCCGGCAATGTGGGCGCGCCGTAGTGGATGGGCTATGGGCAGTTAAATTATTTAGCACAATTTCAGGGGATGAATATACTGGGGTATAAAGTAGCAGTGTAAGAGCATGGATCTTTGGCGTTGCGCCGTGGATACGAAAAAGACAAGAGAAGTGGACAAGTTAAGTTAGGTGATTATTCAGGAGCAGGTTAAAATAGTAATTTATCTTTAGTCGGTACTAAGAGTCGGTTCCTTGTTTCAAGGCGTCAACTCGAGCTGTTACAGTGAAGTTGAGCCTCTTTGTTTGTGTATCGTAGTCCGACCTGAGGTTGGTCGCCTAACTGTAGTGTTGACGCTCCAGTCGGATACCTGGAACAGATGCTGCTACAGCTATTGTTACCGCTGCCTCATTCATGCAGCAAGCACATGTCATATCTCCTCTGGCGTCGCTCAGTTGTACCCGTGTACTCGTTTACTCGTTGCACAGGATCTTTGTTCGCAATGGACCCTTTGTGGTGAGTCGAATTCAATTCAAAGGTTAATTCATCCAGTGGTTGCGTTGCCATACCTTAGACGGGAGTTACGGCAATTAAACCTCCTGTTGAACTGGAGCGGCCTTGGCCAAGGGGCATGCACGCTAGTGGCCGTTGATTCTAGGTAGGTAAGGTAGTTAGTTAACTTCTAACATTAACCTGCATCCTTTGATTATGCAGCGGGTGTTTGGTGATTTCTCCCTATCTACTAATTGTTGGTTTGTTTGTTGTTTGTCACGGCTGAACTCGGGCAATCTTACTGACGAGAGTTGCCGAGAACAACATCAGCAGTTAGGTACCTCCATGGAGTCCATGCTACCCTTGGTTCTGATTGCATCCCGTTCAATGTTTCTGTGACTGGAGCTGCCAAAGACCAGGTATTGCCGGCTGTCTCGGCCCCCTCAGCCTTGGTAAAGGATACAGAGCAAAGTTCACTAATACCATAGCAACTTCGAAGGGATACCTAATCTCGTCTTTAGGTTCAAGGAGAATAATTATAGCGGCCTACCGGGACAAAGGGAAAGAAACCCTGGAAACCGCCCACGTCGGCTGCCTCAAATAAAGTCAAGATACCACTTGGCAGAAGCCTGTTATTTCCCATCATTAACAGGTATTCTAAATTATATGGCAATCTTATTTATATATGGAAACACCAGACCAGTCAAGACCAGGTAGAGCTGGGTATATATGCGAAACTATGTACTAAGAACTTATATCCTCTCTGCCATGCAATCATATATGCAATTCTTATTATTAGTGATTCATCAAGGATATTTTCCTTTGTCCTACTTCTCGAGTCCCAAATTCTTCGATCAAGGCCTTACGTGATAATTGTTACAGTCACGTGACTCCTCTCGAAGCCACTCGCTCGTCATTGGTCAAATTAACCCGTTCCAATGTGGCTTTCCACCTCAGCTTCCGAATCCTCTGGTAGCCTTGGCCAGTAGCAGGCTACATCATCATCAAGCTATCACGTCAACTCTTCAGGTCAACCTTGACACTAGAGCTCGCCGACGGCTTCATATCCCTCACCATGGCAGAATCAGAGCTCGCCCCCAAGTTTGCCCCCTTTATTGGGATGGTGAGTATTCCCGTGCTAGTCTTCCTGTTGGTCTGAAACCAGGGGTGGACGCGAATGCTGATGCTGCGAGTTTGTAGGCCGGAATTGCAGCTGCAATGGTCTTCGGATGTACGATACTTACTCCCTCTTTACGCGATGCGATATGACTCAGATCGAATACTGAACGACTCCGATAGGTATTGGTGCTGCTTATGGCACAGCCAAGTCTGGCATCGGCATTGCTGGTGTCGGTACATTTAGACCAGACCTCATCATGAAGGTACATTACTGTCCCCTGGCTGAATCAAGGCCATCGCTGACGCCTTTTCCAGTGCCTCATCCCCGTCGTCATGTCCGGTATCATTGCCGTTTACTCGCTAGTCATCTCCGTCCTCATCGCTGAGGATCTCGACCCAGGCAAGAACTATAGCTTGTTTTCGTACGTCGACGCGAAGTCTCGTCAACGAAAACGATCACTAACAGTATCAGGGGTTTTCTGCATCTCGGATGTGGTCTTGCAGTTGGCATGACTGGTCTTGCCGCCGGTTACTGCATCGGAGTTGTCGGTGACACTGGCGTTCGTGCTTATATGGAACAGTCTAGGATCTTCGTTGGCATGGTCTTGATTCTTATCTTCGGCGAAGTTCTTGGTCTCTATGGGTACGTCATTGATGAATATTCAGTATATTTCGGTTATGCTAATTATCCTGTAGACTCATCGTTGCTCTTCTCCTGAACAGCAAGAGCAAGGGTTAGACAAGTCCTATTCAATCAACGATCACATACCTACTCTGTCGACCTTTCATCGAGTGGTCGACTTGTACGTCGGGGAGGTTTTGAGCTGCCATCGAGTTACGGGGGCATACCATTATATGTACATCGGGCATGGCGTTATTGGACGTGTAACATATCTTTTGCAAACAGGTAGAGAAATGGCGGAGAAGTTGACCGGATCTAGCTTCCAGTATAATCGCAAAGTCTATGCTAACACGATTTCTCCAACATGTTGACACTAGACGTCTCAAAAGAGTTTGAATGTTCGTTTCATTTGAGGGGTGAGCTACCTAATACCAGCCCAGGTTCACCAAGCCCTATGCGACCCTATGTACGAGAATGAGCGACAGAAGAGAAGAATATGCCTACGACGACCGTTTCATGCCATCAATCGGAGAGCAGTTGACAATTTGAGAACCCCCAACTCGCATGCCATGCCTTATCCCGACAACCCAATCTAGATCATCAAAACGCCATGAGAATGCGACAATGTCGTTTCAGCCAACGTAACAGACATGATAATGGCGACCCAGCGCAACAGAGATGCAAAGAAAACACAAAAAGGCAGAGGTCAACAAAGCAAGATCATAGCAAGCGTCGTCCTCCAATACGGCGGAGGAGCTTCTTTCGGCCTCCAGCCTCAACCTCACGTCTGTATGGGTTTGTCGGAGTCCAGTTCCGCTGCCGGTCATCCGAGTCTCTCATTCGAGCTAATTCAGCGTTAGCAGCTGCGATACAACACTCGACAAACTTGTATCTTTTTTTTTCAACTTACCTAAGAACCAGTCCCACTGGCGATCCTCTCGCAGAAGAATATCATCCCCTGACTCTCGTGAAAGTCGCTCTGTACGAGCGCGTGCGGCAGCCACCTCGCCAACCAGATAGGGATCTTCCAACGGTCTGGTTATGTACCGCTCTTGTTCTTGCTCGCTAACATCGGTCATGACTCGACGAAGGCTGTCTACGGGATCTCGCTGAGCAGTCAGTCGCCGGTTCGCGACATTCTGGTAGTGTCGGGCGTTGGGGTTACTAGAGACGGAGGACCATGTCGCGATACGAAAATTGTTCAGGTTCGGCTGGGATCGCAGAGGAAGAGCAGGTACTGGAGGCAAGCCGATAGTCTGCTGACGTGGAGTTGAGGTACCGCTTCCTTGGGGAACTAAGGAGGACCTCGCAACTGTGTGAGACCGAGCTGGAGGGGTGTATGACGGCAGAGACTCGGGGTATGGATTTGTTGAGTGGTATGAGGGAGCTTCCGATACTGAGGCAATGCACAGGTCAGTAAGGCTGGTCTCGTGCCAGGTAGTGGAGCTCTGGCAGCGATCTCCAGTCTGGTGTATAAGTAGAGCCGGTATCCCAGCATGATACAAAGAATCGCAACTACTTTTGCCTACTCACCATAAGAAGGAGCAGCAGATCGAATAGAAGCTGTCTCGAAGTCGTCGTTACTATAACGTGAAGTTGCGAGAGCGCCCGTCATGATGGCAGATTGCGGTGGAGGAAGCACAGTTGAGAGGGAACCGGAAGAGGGCTAGCACACGACAGTTCGAGCATCAGTCCAAGAGAACTATTGGGGATGCTGCGGTTAAGTAGCGATACGAGACAATAACAGGATCACACGGCAGGCGGCTGGGACGCTTGAACGGTGCGTGGAGAGTCAGAAGGCGAGATAAGTGAGACCTGTGAAAGTGTGCGGGAGCCAGAATAATGGCCTTTTTGACCGGTGTTTAAGACGCCAAGCTAGGTAAGACAGGGAGGGTCAGGATGCCCAGGAGTTTGATGCACAGCCGCGGATAAACATGCATGTAGTTTCCAGGTATGCAGGAGAGGATGGTGGGAAGCAAGCAAGCGGGCAAGGTGAATAGCCCAG